AAATTTAAAATATATATAGGTAGATATTTTTAAACATATAAATTATATTTTAAATTGATAAATAATTTATAATATAGCAAATGACTGTTCTATTTTTATTTGACCCATATATTAAACAAGATTATCTTACACGAGACTGTTTTTAAAATAAAATATTAATTAAAAATAATTTTATACTTCAATATGAATTATTATCTTAAATATAAAATATAACATTAATTTTTAAAATATTTATTTATACAAATTTTAAATATAATTTATATATTTAATATAACATTTATTTGTATATAATTTATTATAAATTTTACTTAAAATCACACCTATGAATTAGTAGCAAATATTGTTAAATGTTAATAGAATCCATTAATATCATGAAACATAAAGTGTTGAGAAAATGAAGGTAGTTGATATTGTTGGTTGTCAATATATTAAACTCTTTCTATGCTTGCTTGACCACAAACAAGACTACTCCAACAAATCTCTTTGGCTGATTGACCAATTTGGGGCAGTTTTCAAAATTATTTATGTAAATGGGGCTATTTTGAAACAGTTTACACTTTTGGGGCATTTTACTATGGTGTCACTCTGAGTCATAGCGACACAATTGACACGTGTATTTTTTTTTTTTGTAATGATGATCGGCTAAAATTTAGACAAACAAAGTCATTATAGGTTGTAGCGATTTACATAAAGTCGTTATAGGCTACATCAGCACTAATTTATATTTTTTATTATTAAAAAAATAATTTCTGAAAATGTGTTATGGGCCATAACGACATTGTGTCGTTATGGGCCATAACGCCACTTAAGTTAAATTCGATTGTAAGACTCTTGCATACTTCAATCTTTTATTACTGCGTGAAGCAGCCTAGCATCACTTTAGATAGGAGCAGAATGGGTCCACCTAGTAATAAAAGATTGAAGTATACGAGAGTCTTACAATCGAATTTAACTTAAGTGGCACTATGGCCTATAGTGACACTATCGCTATAGGCTATAACGACCTCTATTTTTTTTTTTAATTATTCACTTAATTTCTTTATATGTAATTTTATTTTATATTATGAATTTAATATAAATAAATTTATAATTCTGTTTTATATATTTATCTTTTCTATAATTTCTTTATTTATATATTTTATTTTATATATTTAAATTATTTTCTTTAATTTATTTTTTTTATGTATTTAAATATTTAAATAAGTGACGTTATGGCCTATAGCGACACAATGTAGTTATAAGCTATAACGACCTCTATTTTTCGTTTTTCTTTTTTAAATTATTTACTTAATTTTTTTATTTGATTTTTATTTTATATTATGAATTTAATATAAAATTAAATTTATAATTCTGTTTTATATATTTATATTTTCTGTAATTTCATTATTTATATTATATATATATATTTAAAATATTAAAGAAAGGAGGCGCTATAGACCATAGCGACTTCTATTACTTAATTTAATCATAATTAATTTTATTCCCTTTCTCTTTTTATGAAATTTTAATTTTATACTTCTGTGAAATTTTAATTTTTATGAAATTCCAATTTAATTACATGTATATTATAATTATTTTTAGTTTTATTTTTTATGTTATTTTTTAAAAAAATATTTTATAAAAAATTATTAAAAATGTGGCACTGTAGGCTATAGCAACTTCATTGAAACCATTTTGTGTCGTCATGGACTGTAGCGACATTGTTAATATGGCTTTCATGGCTTCTTTGGAGTTAAAAAAGTTCACGTGTCAATAGTGTCGTTATGGGTCATAACGACACCATAATAAAATGTCCCAAAGGTGTATATAATTTCAAAACAGCTCTATTTACGTAAATAATTTTGAAAAGTACCCCAAATTAGTCAATCAGCCAATCTCTTTCTATCAGGGACAGATTTAGGTGGTGAAGAGTGGGGGCACTTGCCCCCACTATCATTATATATATATATATATTCTAATTTATTAAACTTTTAAAGGAGATTAGTTCTCATATGTAATAAATAATACTCCTTAATAATGAATTATTTTTTTTTTAAATTTTAATTTTTTATAAAATAAACTTTGCAATATATATGTTTACCTTTTGTACTTTCTATTTATATATACATTGATTTAAAAAAATCAAAAAGTAAAGATCATATGATTGTATATGTTGATTAAAAAAAATAAAAATAGGAAAAATTGAAAGATTTATGTTCTAAAATACGATTTAAAATAAATTATCATCTAAAAAATTACATTAGATATTAAAAACATGTTTATATCATAAATAAATTAAACTTGATTTTTATACAATTTAACATACTTAATTTTATATTTTTATTAGTATTAAATTATTATAAAGTATATTTTTAGGATTGTAATTCTAACTAAATATTTAAAAAATGTCTATGATAGATAAATACGTCATATTTAGAACATGTATTTTTTTATAAAAAAAAAAAATTAGGTTCAAATCTACTAAATTATAATATAACATAGTCTGACCTAGTTTATTTTCATCTTTAATCGTAATCATAGATATAAAAACTTGTAAAAAATAATTATGATATATATATTTATACTTTAAAAGTTATATGTAAAATTTTTAATACTATAAATATATAAATAAGTATTGCCCCCACTATCTAAAATTTCTGGATACGTTACTACTTTTTATTAGCGTTTTTTTTTTTTTTTTTTGCTGGTGTGGGATGATTGAAGAATGATGTTTCATTTATTACTAAAAACAAGCCTATTTCTAACAATTAACATTATAAAAATGATGCACTATCAGGTATTTGGTATATTTAATTAAAGTTATTCAATGAAACTAAATTAGTTTGTTTAATTTGTTTAGTCTTGTTCTTGTATCACATTGAATTTTGTCTAATATATTTTCGTAGCTGGCCTAGTATTCTGTTACAATATGATCAGGCACAAAGTCTATTGGTCTCCCTAAACATATACTAATGACTTTAGCTTATTCTTCTTATCATATGCTCCTTCATTGATAAGGAAGATCTTACATTTACATGTTACATGTTTTGCAGCATCCAGAGAGATGGACTTCAAATAGTATTCTTTTTTTTTTCTCTAGGAATTTGACTTTTGATACATGTTGGTGATAAGTTATAATGATGATAACAAATATCCAAATTAATTCTTTCAATTTGATTGATTAAAAATATAATTAATATTTAAACTACATTTTTGTACTATCAATTAATCAAATCACAAAAATATTTGATTTTATCAATCTTCATCCTACTTTATAAATTAAGAATTTCTTATATGAATGAATCTCATATTTAGAATTAAATCAAATAATTTGTAGTTTACAACATATATAATTCAAAGATTAATTAAAAACACATACAAATAATACAATATACATTATTTACTAATATAATTTATCATATTTATTCTATTTTTTTTAACCTTTTGAACTATACAAATATATTAATTAATATTTAATAATCAAATAATTTTAATATTTCATTTAATGATAGTTATTTCGATTATTATACCATAACATATATATTTTATCTCAATTAAATAAAAAAAATCTTAATTTTTTTTTGACAATGACTCTAATTTTAAATATTTTTTAAAAACATTACATGAATTTAAAAAATTATTTTAATATATTTCAATGTTTTAAATAAAATATTAATTTGTTTTGTTAGTATTTATTTTAATATTTTTAATTTAGAAAACAAGTTAATATCACTAATATCAAATTAATGTTCATTAAAACTTAAATTTATTTTAAAATTAAGATAATATTTTATTTTCAATTTATTCATTTTTTAAAAAATTCATCTATTGAGATTGGTGTAAAAAAATTTAAACTAATTTCATACTTTAACATTTATTCAAATAAGTTGAGTATAAGAAAAGAAATAAATTTAACATATAAAAAAATATCATTTAATAATTTAAATTAAAATTAATTTTAAATAATATATAAAATGAATTGAAGGAGTAAGGCAGTGACTTAATGAGACATTGAAGGATAAGATGACTGATATGAGTCTTGGAATTTTTTTAAAAATAGAAAAATTATAAAAATATTTGTAATGAGAATTGAACTTAAGTCTTCATATTTCTGATTATCTCAATTCCCCCTATCCAATCATGACGAGACATTGAGAGTGAAGGAGAAAAAAAGGCATGTAATTAATAAATGAAAACATGAAAAAATCATAA